CTGACTAAATAAATAAACCCAATACCTTAACACTTCCACTGACTAAATAAATAAACCCAATACCTTAACACTTCCACTGACTAAATAAATAAACCCAATACCTTAACACTTCCACTGACTAAACCCAATACCTTAACTTTTCCATTGACTAAATAAATAAACCCAATACCTTAACACTTTCACTGACTAAATAAACCCAATACCTTAACACTTCCACTGACTACATAAATAAACCCAATACATTAACACTTCCACCAACTAAATAAGGACAAAATTACTTTAGAATAGGTAATGGGAGAAAGATCAGAGAAAAATAGCTTTTTTTAAGAACATTCGAGCAAAGGAATGAATGGAGAACCATGATCGTCGACGTCTGTCGCAGATCTGGCACTGAGTGATTAAATGAATGAATGAGGGAACGGAACAAGTAAAAGTAAGACAGACAAGACATAAACAATGGAGGGAAAGTCAAGAAGTAGGACCTACCAGACCTACCAGTGGCGCCCTCCAACCACTCACTGATATTTCACATGAAAAACTGTTCCCAAAATATACTACCAATATGAAGATCATGGAACTTTTCCCCCCACCGTTTGAAAGAAACAATCCAGAAAAGCAAAAAATAGAAATACGTTTAGGAACAAGACAGCAACTTGAGAAACTAAAGCAAAAACTATAACCCAAAAATTGTATACAATGGTGAAAGGTGAAAAGAAAAGCTGGTAAATTAATCTATAGACTAGTAGAGTAGTAGAATTTGCTTTAGGCAATGAGTAATTTCTACATTAGAGCATTCATTACGGATAAAGGGACAAAAAAATAAACCAATCAATCAAAAGCGGTGCGAGTATTTCCAAAAATAGAACCATTACAGTGAAGTTCAGCAAAGGTTTGCAGCGGGTAACAATTAATGAAAAAAGAATTTAAAAACAGCGATAGCAATTTGGAATAATTACACTGGACAGCACATTCACATGCAATTAGGCCAGTCAGGATTATTTCTGTAGTTTCAGAACAAACCGGCGTGACCAGTAGCCCCAGCACACATGCCACGTAGGACGCACGACGAGGACAAGGACTGCCCGCTCCACACACGACACCGGCACACAACTCACCTCCACCACGATGTCCAGCAATTTACTGCTGGGCAATGTCAAGATAGGATTTCTTTCTCTCTGTTCTAGTATATACATAAACCTTATGTCATAGAGCTTACAAAGTCAAATACTTTAAGTCCCAGAGCTTACAAAGTCCCACACCTTACAAAGTCGCAGACCTTACAAAGTCAAATACCTTAAGTCCCAGACCTTACAAAGTCCCAGAGCTTACAAAGTCGCAGACCTTACAAAGTCAAATACCTTACAAAGTCCCAGAGTCCCAGAGCTTACAAAGTCCCAGAGCTTACAAAGTCCCAGAGCTTACAAAGTCCCAGAGCTTACAAAGTCCCAGAGCTTACAAAGTCAAATACTTTAAGTCCCAAAGCTTACAAAGTCCCAGAGCTTACAAAGTCCCAAAGCTTACAAAGTCCCAGAGCTTACAAAGTCCCAAAGCTTACAAAGTCCCAGAGCTTACAAAGTCCCAAAGCTTACAAAGTCCCAGAGCTTACAAAGTCCCAGAGCTTACAAAGTCCCAGAGCTTACAAAGTCCCAGACATATTCAGGTCATTTCGTACCCCCGGAGTTGTATTCTTCACATTTTAGAATACTTCTAGTGCGAAAATCTCTGAAACTTTCAGAATTTCTCAAAAAATCATTTTGACAGACTGCTATGCAAAGCGTACGGATCGGATTAATGAGTAAATTTCCTCATTGGAAAGTGGGCACAGAGTTCCCCACGTCGTATGGATACGACAGTAAAACACAACGTACGGATAGGGATAAGTGGTGGCACAGAGTTCCCCACGTCGTATGGACACGATAGTAAAACATGACCTACAGATAGTGTTAACTAATGCACAGTAGAATTGTAAGTGGGCTGATTTATCAATGTCATGCTCATACTGTGCCGGTACAACATAGGGGGAACTGCTGCTTTTTCTTTTCTCATCCTTACTATCATCATTTTTTCCTCTACTTCTTTTGTATGTTTGTTACTCTCTTGTGAACTGTTATTTCCGGGGTGCCTTGATAGTCGAAGCAGACTTTGTGCTGTTGAGGCTAGAGAGGTAAGCAGAGTAAGTCTGATTCCCCGTTTCGACTTCTCTGTTGACATCCACCCCTGGGCGCTCCTGTGACCTAATGCAGTCGCGAGCGCCGCAAAAACCGTATTAAAACAAACAACTGGTCTGTTTCCCGTTACCTTCTTTCCTGTGGATCTATCCACTACGGCCACATTTTCATTGCCTGTCAGTTTGTCCAAGTTGAGAGTTCGGGGATCCAACTGAGGCTTGCGTCCCCGCCTACGTACAAAAGTCTCCTGCGGGGATGGAGGGGGAGGGAGGCGGACCGTACAGAAAGCATACAAACATATACCATGATGAGAAAAAGGGGGGAAGACTCCGAGTAACAGAGGAACTGGGATGGGAAAGGACAAAACTGCGCAGACCAAGAGCAAAAATAAACAACCATACTCCAGCCAGAAGCATAGTCAAAAAGGTAGAAACAGAGAGTGGTGCATTCAACAGGACCAAACTTGGGGCGGACTCCGCACACCCAGCTAGGAAACCTTCCCCTCAGTCAGCTTTGGATGCTTCTCTAAAATGTTCTTTGTCCTCCTCTCCTGTTTCTCCTGGCTACTACTTACTGCCATCTTTCAGCCACAGCCACTGATCTTAGGGTGAGAAAAATCAACCATCTAGCCTTCTCAGGGGGGGGGGGTGTCCCGATGCAAGTTGTGTACATTAAAGATCCCTTGGTGGTCCTAAAATCTATAAGAGTAGGTTTCTGCCGCCACCCAGTTCCAAAAACAATTTTAAAAATAGGCTCTGGCAAAGGCCTATACCCCTGGTGTTACCCATATTGACTCTTTCCAATGCGTGTCTTTGAATGCACCAAACTCCAACACATGAAGTGGGAAAAAAAAGATAAGGATGCAACTTGAGTTCACACAATGCCGTTCTAACATTTACTTGTATTTTGCTTGCTCCCCCC